GACCAACGTCTGGGAAAAATTCTCTAAACCCTAATACCCCTTTTATCTCTCCCAACACAAAAGACTTTGAACCACTCAAGGGACCTTTGTGGCCCCTGGTATAGAGTACATCTTTTCTGCTAATGTTTTCGACGTAAAACGTACTTCCAGTGGAAATTCGGTAGCAGTACTGGCGGCCCCCTCAAAGAGTCCGAGGCCGTCGTTGAAGAAACTCGGCCGTTGAAGCATTCCGTGAGCACTCCGTAGAACAGAGGTTATGTAGGGGCACAGTCGAAGAAAATAGTAGCCAACAGATAGCCGTAAAGCGGGAGTGAGACCAACAACGGCGCTTAAGGATACCGTACCACACACGTGTCTACTTATGTTGCCACCGCGAATGACCACGACCGGAATGCCTTCCACGGTTTTTTAACTAACCGGAATAAGTAACCACGTTTTAAATAGTTTTGTGCTTTTACTTGAAGCGTCAGGAAGCTGGTAAAAAACCGTGTACGGTTTCTAAAACGGTGCGAGTGCTTCAATAAGGCCCCGGACTCTTTGAGGTGCCGGCAGTTGTTACCGATTCTACGGAAGTTGCTTACCGGGCTACAACGATGCTAGTCTCGGCTTAAACTTGTAAAGGAAATGCACACAGGTAGCCAACAAATAACTGTTGTTTTAGTACATTTGTATAATACAATTTATTCGGGTTAAACAGAAGACACTTTAGCTTTTCCCTATATAATAACCAAACTTCCGCTCAACCCGTCCTTCAACAACAACGATACCTTTGTTTTAATGCCCTCTTTTGAATTATAGAAGATGTATATTTCTGCCTATTCATTTCTTGTTTCAGACTATTTTAGTCATGTCATAGTAATTTGCGAAATGTATTAACAAAAAACAATGAAAGCAACGTCAACAGTACAGACATTTACATTAATTTACAACGAAAAACAACCACCAAGCCCCGGTAGAAGCACGCTTTAAGTGTTAAGGTATAAGCACACCAGGTAGCCACAGTTAAGACCTGTCACCACTGCGCTCCGAAATTTCTCAAGTACCACATGTTATTGTAAATTACTCTTAAGGGTGGTAATTTAGGAGTTTCCTGTTTGAGTGTACCCATTGTGTCACACGACTCTTGATACTTTTGTGGAATCGAGTACGACGTTCAGACACCTTTAGTGTCCTAAATACTAAAAAAAGTCGTACAACCCCTTTTTCGATCAAGGAGAGCCTTTCACACTATAACCCAGACTTCCCATACATGGAAGGAGCGGGGAAGGACACGGGACAGGTTATCGAAATTGGGACAAAATATTGACAAAAACTAACAACAATTCATGGACAGTCTCGAGGACGAAACAGGGAGAGGAACCTTTTTGTACACTCGAGTCGTAGAGAGTCAATCCTCACTTAATTCTTTTACGTCACGTAACCCACTTTTTTTATGAATCACAGGTTTGTAAATATAGACCACCACCTTTTGGACGCAATTTTGTTCCTACTGAAACAACATTCGCATGGATAGTACCGATATAAACTTATTATATCACTATCCTGGTATGGATATATTCCGTAGGTGTGTGTGTCAGATTTGAACACTTCTGTGACGTCACAGAAGTGGCGCTACGGCTATTGGGCCAACTCCACCAATCAGGAGGAGACAGCCACGGACATTGCCGTTCGAAAGCACTGGAGACGCTGTAGTACATATGCCAGGCCTGTAGATGGTGCTGTTCTCACAGAATCAGCCCATGCAAAGATAGTGTTAAATTGAGCGAAATGAGGAATGGCTAAAATGCATGATCTGTTTGGTATTTTGAAAAATAAAAAGTATAAATATGCCTTATATAGGTATGGTCCTACACTATATTATTCAAATATAGCATGATAGGTCCACTTTAAGATGCCCTCACGAATGGCCCGATGTTGTTACCATCAGAGCCGAATTTGAACATTTCCTTTATCGTGTGTCCATCGGGTGTCAATTTCGGGATAGTGTGACGCGGGCTTAAGGGAAAAAAAGGAAACTATCTCCTTCATGAAATAATTGAATGTAATAAAATACACTATAAAGTAGGCCACACTGTTGCTGGCACAACAAGCATTAGTTAGTCAGTCAAATTTGGGCACAACAATAAACAGCTATCTTGGATGAGGTAGAGTATTTCTTTGCCCCACGCAGTTACTTCCTTTAATTACGTCAAATTAAAGTTGCCAGGTTTTCTGGTCTTTGTGCTAAATTGTTGGTAGCTTCATATTAACTGTAGCGACATGGAAGTGGTATGGATCTTTCAACTTACTCTGGGCAAGAAAGCAGGCATAAATATTGAACTATTATTGTTAAGGGGTTTTGATGAACCTGCATATTGAGCAATACATTTACTGCCATTGACTCTGCTTCCAGTTTCCATATATATATCACAACTAGACCAACATACTCCCTAAAGCAGCACACTTACATCCTGTGCAGCGGGGTGATGCTGGAACAACAAATCATCTGCCTTTTTCAGCAGTCCAAGAATTATCTCATTATTCACTCTTGCTTAGTTTACAGCCCTGAGCATGTCCGAGCAGACCAGATGATGAGAGTGGGAATGGGAGGTAGTCAGGAGTAGGGTCGGGGGGCAAAGTTTGCTTGATTTTCTTTCAGTATGTGCTTTTGTTGCACCCACTTCCTTCATGGTAACAGCTGTCAAAACGTTGTCGGATTACAGCGCACCACAAATTTACAGCTCATATTAGAGCCTGGTACAGGGCAGGAAGTTAGGAGGAGTCCAGCAGCGGGCTACATTAAAGCCTCTCAGGTTCTCAGAGCAAAGCAGCTAGGACCCATGGGAGGAATAGCTAACACCAAGAGGGTGCTTCTCCTGCAATGCTATTTAGGTACGCGCGTAAGGGATATCGAGGGCTTTTCCACTGATGTTTTAGGTATTAGAACAGATATACACCATAATTGTGTGTTGTTTTCTCAACAGGATGTGAAGTTCCTATTCACAGCACCGGATCACAAAGCCCCTTTTTCCTGGATTAGCCGAGCTTCAGAGTTTGTATGATGAGGCCGCAAGAAATTTGCAACATTGTTGGGAGAGAAAACTCCCTGAAATCTCCAGTCATCTGTTGAGGGAATAGAGCCTGTTGAAATAATATCAATTCAGCAGGGTAATTCTCCGGCACATACGTACGTCCCTACGCTGCAAAACCAAAACAGAAATGTTGCACTAATGAGTTACTTTGACGTTGAACTAAAACATCTCTGCCATGGTACTGTGCAGTGTAATATGACAGGGGCCTTGGTAATCAGTTTACACTAAATCAATATAAAAAGTAATAGCAAAGTTAGGTTGATCCTGCATGAAACTGTGAAAATCCAAGAACGTCTGGATCAGGTTCCCATAAACACTTAACCTCAACAATGACGTCTGATTACATAGAAGGC